TTGGCCAAGCTGGGGGTGCACACATGTAAAAAAAAGTAGAGGCCCAGTGCCATGGGCAGAGGCTATATCCTAGGTGCCCGCCCCAGTGCCAGCCAACCCAAGACAGGAGAAAGGGGCTGGCAGTTTTGCCTCTGAGAGATACAGGTGGAGCATGGCCCTCCTGTGAGGTGAGTCGGTATGGGGGAAGGCACCAGCACTGCAGTCTAAGGGCTTGCAGAAGAGGGAGTATCTCAGCCTTTTGCATGGGTGCAGGCCCACCCGCCCCCCAGCTCTTTGGAGGCTTATGTGGAAGGCATCCTGCAGCTACTGGTCACAGGCACTGTGCCTCTAGGACAGAGTGAGGGGTGGCAGGTCGGGGAGCAGGCTGGTATTGGGAGATTCATCATCGGACAGGTCAGCATCAGGTGGGTAGGAGCTGTCCGAATGCAGGGAGGATGGCAGGTCCTAGCATAAGCTCATGACTTTTCACATTTCTCGAGAGTAAGTGCCAGCAGATGACAGAAAGAATTAGCAGGTAGCAAATATACATTCATGGAAAAGGTCAGAGCAGCTGGCTTTGCTTGGTTCATGTGTTCGAGTGTGGGTATGGGTGTGTGTGTGGAGGTGTGGTGTGTGTGCTTTGGTGCAGACAGTGTGGCAGCTGCTCCTAGTTGTGAATATATTGTATGCCTATAACACTGTTTTCTTGTTTTCATTATGAAATTAAATATACCTTTTCATGGGGCTACAGAAAGATCATCAGTCCTTCTAAGGCAGCAGCTTTTCATGAATTCGCTAAAACTGTGTGCAAAGTTGCCTTCTGTGTATGTGTGTGCATGTGTTGTTCTGGCGAGGGAGGTCTGAGGTCAAGCTACAGATTCCCAGAGAGGTCTGTGATTCCAGAAAGATTAAAAATCGCTGACTATCTACCATTCTACTTATCTGCCATCTCTCCATCATGTTTACAACATCATCGATGCATGCATATGTCTATTTATCCACTAAGAGGCAGATTTATTTCCAGATAGTAGCATTTGAGATGATTTATTTGTAATTTTCTGTCCTGCTTTAGTCCTTCATAATTATCATTGTATTATTCCATCTTCACACTGCTATAAAGAACTCCCTGAGACCGGGTAATTTATAAAGGAAAGAGGTTTAATTGACTTACAGTTCAGCATGGCTGGGGAAGCCTCAGGAAACTTACAATTATGCCAGAAGTCAAATGGGAAGCAAGGCAACATCTTCACAACGCAGCAGGAAGAAGAAGTGCTGAGCCAAGGGGGAAGAGCCCATTATAAAACCGTCAGGTCTCATGAAAACTCACTATCACGAGAACAGCATGGGGGAAACCTCTCCCATGATTCAGTTACCTCCACCTGCTCTCTCCCTTGACAAGCAGGGATTATGGGGATTACAATTCAGGATGAGATTTGGGTGGGGACACAAGCCTACTCATATCAACTGTGTATCATTTTTAGAAAAATAATGAATTGGGGCCGGGCGCGGTGGCTCAAGCCTGTAATCCCAGCACTTTGGGAGGCCGAGGCGGGTGGATCACGAGGTCAAGAGATCGAGACCATCCTGGTCAACATGGTGAAACCCCGTCTCTACTAAAAATACAAAAAATTAGCAGGGCATGGTGGCACGTGCCTGTAATCCCAGCTACTCAGGAGGCTGAGGCAGGAGAATTGCCTGAACCCAGGAGGCGGAGGTTGCGGTGAGCAGAGATCGCGCCATTGCACTCCAGCCTGGGTAACAAGAGCGAGACTCCGTCTCAAAAAAAAAATAATAATAATAATAATGAATTGATTTAAGAGAAAAGGACAACTGATCTGTCCAACCTATCTTTATGCTTCCATTGACAGGAAACTCAACCAGCTCTCTAGCTGGCCTAGCCTGTCTTTGTTTACCTCAAAGTATTAACATTTCTTCCACATGCTGAATTCATGGCTAGGCAATGAACAATTCAATGAAGAAGACTGAGCACAGTGGCTCACGCCTGTCATCCCAGCACTTTGGGAGGCCAAAGGGCGAATTGCTAGAGGCCAGAAGTTCGAGACCAGCCTGGCCAACATAGTGAAACTCCATCTGTACTCTAAAAATACAAAAAATAGCTTGGCATGGTGGTGCATGCCTGTAATCAAGGTGCTACCCTTGATACTGGGTAGCTACTCGGGAGGCTGAGGCAGGAGAATCGCTTGAACCCAGGAGGCAGAGGTTGCAGTGAGCCAAGATTGGGCGACTACACTCCAGCCTAGGCGACAGAGCTAGAGGCTCTCAGAAAATAAACAAACAAACAAACAAATCAATGAAGCTCCAGAGGGTAGATAGAACAGAAGTGAGTCTTGGGGTGAGAGACAAGGAGAGGCACCTGTGGCTGGATCCCTAGAAGCCATCTGAGGACACCGGCTTGCTTTGCCATCCCAGATCAGGGACAGGGTGCCAAAAACAGTGAACAGGGTTCAGCACAGCCTGCGCCTGCAAATGGCTTATCTGTGGTTCACAGAACAAGCTCAGGAAGCTGGCAGGGAGAAGGAGATACAGTGAGGCAGAAAGGAGAATAAAGTCCAAATACACAAGGGGAGGAAGTAGGTGGGGCTCACCCAATGTCAGCAGCCCTTGGGTGCAGGAACTCTCTGGGGAATGGAGCCCAAGAAGGGAGTGGTGGCAATGCCAACATGCTTCAGTTGAGAGAAAAGGCCCTTTGGCTATAATACTGTGTCCTTGTTCCCAAGGCAGCCCCCAACCGGATTCCCCTCAAAATGTAGGTGTGTGTATGAGTATGTAGAGAAGCTAGAATAATCACATGTACCATATTTTAAATGTTAACCTATTTTTACCTCAAAAATTTCATCTGATCCCCATGGAACCTTTAATGCAGGCAAAGTTAAGACTCAGAAAGAAGCAACAATCTTGCATATTCTTCACATGTACCCCAAAACCTAAAATGTAATAAAGTATATATTAAGAAAAACACTGAATATTAAATAGAAAGAAATGCTGAAAGAATTTGTAATATGTAATAAATTATTTAACTACCAAGTTAAAAAACACTGACAGAGGCCGGGCACGGTGGCTCAAGCCTGTAATCCCAGCACTTTGGGAGGCCGAGGCGGGTGGATCACGAGGTCAAGAGATCGAGACCATCCTGGTCAACATGGTGAAACCCCGTCTCTACTAAAAATACAAAAAATTAGCCGGGCATGGTGGCGCGTGCCTGTAGTCCCAGCTGCTCAGGAGGCTGAGGCAGGAGAATTGCCTGAACCCGGGAGGTGGAGGTTGCGGTGAGCCGAGATCGTGCCATTGCACTCCAGCCTAGATAACAAGAGTGAAACTCCGTCTCAAAAAAAAAAAAAAAAACAAAAATAAAAAAACACTGACAGAAAAAAATTCCAAAATGCTATAATAGATGGTTTAGGGAAGAAAATTATAAATGGTCTTCTTCCTTTTCTTTCTTAATTTTCTGGCTGTGACACTATCAATTAAAATTTTATATGGAAAAATAAAAAAAAAAAAAGACTCAGAAAGGAGATGTGCCTGGACTAAGGACACACAGCTCAATAAGGCAGCAGAGGCATCAGCAAAAGAACCCTGTTTTGTGTGTGCATTCATTACAAATTGCCCCCTTTAAACTAGGCTGTTTCAATGTATCCTTTCCCCTTTACTCTTTAATTTGCTTTTTAGAGCCTTCCTGTATTTTATGTATTGGAATTGATCTACAATACGGGTAGACTGTGACTCCAAGGTCAATAACAGTTGGGGATCCATCGGTTACTCATGATGCTATGGCATTTCAAGACTGCCTGGGAACTGATGAGAAAACAGAGGTAAAACCGATGAGCAAGTCCAAGTTTAGCCCATGGGTCACTCCAGCAGACCACGAGTGACTTAAAAACCATACACGTGTGCCCACCCACACACACTAACACACACACACTCCCAGCTTGCCTTTAGTAAGGAGTCACTACTTACCATCCTGAACTTTTTATTAGAAAAAAAAAAAAGTGTCCCCAGTTGAAGAGTCATCTTTGAATAGAAGGACAAGTCTGTCACTGACATACTGAATATTTTTATGGTTACAGTGACAGGAAGGAAAACCTTCAAAGGGGGCTAGGGATGAGAGAGAACAAAACCCAGGACAGTAAACCAAGGGGACTCGACACAGGTGAGAAGAAACTAGGGAGCCTCCCATGAAAAGTAGTGTGTTTTCTTCCAACAGGCTTGGTCGAGAAGGGCTTACTCAAGGTGTGCAGATCCCACCGCCTCTGCACCACAATTCTGACAACCACCACCAGAGTTAGATCAGATGCTGCCAGTGAAGGGACACAGTTGCCAACAGGGCTGCCCTTACTTCAGACACAAGCCCCACGTGCGGATACCAGGCCACTGGCACTTGTGACCAACTGGCTACAAACCCAGGAGGGTACCATGACCTTCCTCAGGTTCAATCATTCTCTAAAAATCACAGAACTCAGGACTGTATTTATGATTATTTTATTATGAAGGATACAAATCAGCCCCACCAGCCAAATAAGACATAGGGAAAGGTCTGGGAGGGTCTCGAGCACAGCGCTCCCGTGGCCTCTCTTCCCTGCCGGCACAGCCATGGCTCCACCAACCAGGAAGCTATGCTGAGCTTTAGTGTCCAGAGTTTTTCTTGGGGTTTCATGATGTATTGATTAAAGCACTGGCCAGATGACTAAACTCAGCCTCCAGTCCTCCGCCCCCATAGGTCAGGCTGACTCAAAGCCTCAACCCTCTAATCACATGGTCAGTCTTTCTGGTGTCCAGCCCCAGCTCTGAGTCATCTCACCTCTTAGCATAAGCTCAGGTGTGATCCCATGGCCTCACAAATAACAAAGACACTCCTATTACCCCGGAAAGGTCAAGGACTGAAAGACTTCCTCCCAGGAACCAGGGACAAAGTCCAGTCCAATTCTTTAGACAACCTCCAATCCACACCTCCTGCACCTCCAACCCTAATTCAAATAAGGATAAAATCCACTAAACAGGGCCCATTGCTGGCCTGAACTATTTTTGTTTCTTTTTTTGAAGCTTTTTATTATAGACATTTTCAAACATATACCACAGTGGAATGAATAATATAATGAACCCTCCCACCTCCGTCTCTAGTAACTGATTATCCATTTGTGGATTACTCTTTCATTGATACCCACCCCCTTTCCCTTAACCCCCACGGTTAGATTATCCCGCAGCAAAATCCAGACGGACATCCTATCAGTCTGAGAATTCCTTATCAAAAGCTTCCTGAAGAGGAGCTCTACCCAGGGTAAGACTAAGTATGCTGGCTACAGGTCTGCTGAAATCTCAACCCTTGGGAGCCCCTGGGTGGGGCCTGGACAGGTTCCTGGGCAGTAGCCATCTGTAGTGGACAGCTCATTTGTTGACAACAGCATGACGAACAAACCGCACTTTCTACCCACACTGCAATGCGGGAGAGAACGCCAAACACTGCTTTATAGCGTTCAAAGCTTCTAAGGCACGTCAGCCAGCCCTGATCTTGTCTACAGCCATGATTATCTCCTTAAAGAGTTAACTCTAAAAAAATTAATCTCAAGAAATAACAGTTCAAATACTCCTAATTAATTAAAATCAATAGTGAGAGGCAGAAAATGGTCAAAGATAACATATTAGTATTATTGATCGCAGATCGATTTCAGAGTATTTAAAACAGGAATAATCAGCCATCGCATCTTGAAAAATACAGACTTGATCCTAACCTTTTGTTTATCATACCACACTGACTGGGACAGTCCCCAGTAGCTGGGTCTAGGATAGTATTTTGTGTTTGTGTTTCTGGGAATTTCTGATACTTCCCAGCATACCAGAAGAGTGTTCCCCTCACACATGCTACCAGGCTTCTCCTCCCTAATGGAACAGAAAGAGTGGTGAACAGAGTGACCCTCTACTTTCTCATCATATTCTACAAAATGAGAAATCAGATGGACACAAAGGTTCTTCCAACTCTAGGACTCCAGGGTTGTGTGGTGGCCCTGCAAGGCTAGCTTATGTAAGGTCTTACCATTACAAACAGAATGGTTAAAGACAGCAAGGATGCACTCCTCAATTTACAACTCCAAAGCACCTTGCACAGAGCTCGGCTTTGGTTACCTACTTGACCCTCTTATAAACAGAGGGACTCATGCTTCCCTACCCTGAGCTGCACATTTGCCAGGGAAGGAGCCTCCCTACTGTCCCCATTTCTGCAGAAGAGAGCCAGAGCAGGAGCCATGGATTAATCTCTGGCATTCTACACCTCTAAGCCTAGCTGTTTCCCAAGTATTAATTGGTTTCAGACAAGGCTTTCGTTTCAGAGAATCAATGAAAATGCTTTTGATCATCTTCAAAAGCAGAGAAGAATCACCAAAGAACTTTTCATCCAAGTAGTAAGGAAGAAAACTTCTAAGGACCACATAATACCTATTGCAGGGATGTCTTCCCTACAAAGACTACTGCTCTCCCAATGAAGTGAAAATCCTTGTTGGGAGATGACACCGATCAGGTATGTACCTGCATGTCAGGTGTGTACCTGTCCGGAATATCAAGTGCTCTGCCCTGCCTAGAGTGCCGTAGAATTCCAGCATGAGGCCTGAGATGCACTACATTCTCAAATATCCATATGAAAAGGTCTGGGGTCTCTACTTCCCCTGGTAACCTCTTTTCATATTATAAGAAGCCTGACGGGAGCTCTCCTCTAAGCAAAGCCCAGAGCTGAACTCATTTCATTATAAGAGGTTAAGTTCCTCACACTTAACATCCTGACAACATCCGGCTATAAGGAGCTTGGGGAAAATCCAGCAATCCACTCACTCCTGCCCCTTAGTGGACTGGGTTATTTTCACTGCACAGAAACACTGCAGGGAAAATAGCCACTTGTGTAACCCTCTTTAACTCATTCCCTCCCTGATCAATGTGAGTTTATAGAACTGGCTCAAAGGAGGAAGGCAGCAGAAGGGGGCAGGGCCAGCCCCAGGCTCTGACTCATGCGAGGGCCAGTGCTGGGTCTGCAGCCTGTGGCCAGGGATAAACAGCAATGTTCCTGTTCCCCAGGAGGTTTGCTAAAAGACCCTTTTGGTGCTAGGTTGCCACCCCAGTAAGTGGTCTAGTGTGGTCCCTGAGGCAGTCTATCTCCATGATAGCAGGCTTCAGAGATCCAGCTTAGCTGGCTGGCTGTGCCAGCTTCAGTGATAACCTGCACTGTCATTCCGTATCTCACAATCCAGGGGAGAGGAGCTATCGCCAAGAGTTGTCAGTAAGAAAGCAGGACACTCTAACATGAGCAAACCCACCAGGCTTCTGTTGACCCAGGGCAGTGTCCCCCTTGCCTGGCAGAGTTCCTTGCCCTGCAGCCAAGGCTATGGGAAGCAAGGCCTCCAGCAAAGCTCATGGCTGCCACCAAAGCATCTCTGCCAAGATGCTTCTCATGACACTTGGGAAGGATTTCCATCCAAACTGGACTGGGGTCACCTGACCTTGAATCACAAATCCAACACAGGCTCATTCCAGTCATGGTTTGAAGCTTTAGTTGAAAAGTTTCCTGTTTGAAAACCATCAATGGGGAGTGATGGGTGAGCAGGGTAGAAAGGGAACAGCACTATTTTCCAGTGGAGAAAGAGGGCATGCTTCTTTAGGAAACTGTATTCTGGGTAGAGATTGCTGTGGGTGTTTCCTCAAGCACAGCTAATAACCAGGAGATCGAGCCCCAACATGCGGGTAACGGAGGTTGTGTAATTCAACCAAATTCAATAACTTTGTAATTTTAAAAACATCTATGGTAAGTAATCAAAACACCAAGATCTGAAGGCTACCCTAGAGAGCAAAGGGGCAGCCTTCAGATCCAAGTGGCCCAAGACAGAACGTACAGTAGCTATGGATTTTTTCTAAGAGGAATTGGGCACTCATGACTTCACTCCCCAGAGCTCTGCCCAGCTGCCCAGCAGCCTGGAGATTTCCCAGAACAATGGGAAGCAGGTCACCCTGCCCTGATAGGCACCAGGGGGTGGAAATGCCTCCTTGCCCACAACACAATCACCTCCACCCCTTTTCCCTGGCTAAATGCCATCTCCCACCCTCCTACCTGCCCCGCCCCATGCTCCCAATCCTTAGGGCCTCTTGGGGAATTCTCCAAGGAGAGTTCTGCCTGCTGGATTTTCACTAGGGTCTTGGGACCTCTGCAGGCAGTCAGTCCAAGTGTCCATGGCCTGCCTACTTGGGGGAGCAGATGGAAAGCGTGGCACCAGCGGAGAACACCCAGAAAGCCGGGTACAAAGCCTCAGTAAAGTCCACCTTGAACTTATACATCAGGTGGACCTTGTCAGCAACAGCGAAGAAGATGACAAAGCCGTGGTCACAGTTGAGAAGCACGCCCACCCGTGTGGCCTTGGTAGAGGGCAGGGTTTTCTCCACGTTGTTGTGCCAGGCAGAGATCTTGGTGTTGAACCACTCCACGCACCAGGAGGCGCTGTTGCGGCCGAGCCTGCTCTCGGGGCCCTGCCGGTCCATGCTGCCATAGCAGATGCCTACCCCACAGAAGTTGTTCTTCTGCAGCTCCACCTCCCAGTAGTGGATCCCCTTCTTGTAGCAGTGCAGGCCCAGCACCTGAGAGCAGTAAGTGAACCTCTGGGGATGCGGCCGGTAGTTCTGAGGCATCTCAGCCACAGAAGCTACTGTATAGTTCTGTGACAGAGCCACCTTTTTGTGGGCAGTGTTGTAGTCCAGGATGACTTTAACGTAATCTGAGAAAACATCACCCCAAGGATTAATTACAAGGGGCCCAAAGTGCTCTCACTTTTAGACCTTTCCCAATGTGGTACTATTTATTCACCAGTTTTAACCATCCATGCACCCATCTACCCATTTGTCTGTCCATCCATACATCTAACTGTCTATTTATTCATCTATCTATCTGTCTATCCATGTATCCATCCATCCATCTAGCCATCTACCCATGTGTCCATATGCCCATCTATCCACTCATCCATTCACTTATCTATCCATCCTTCTGTCTTTCCATTTATCCATTCATTCATTCATTCATTCATTCATCTATCCACTCATCTAGTCATCTATCCATTTATCCATCTGTCCATCTATGCACCCATCCATTATCCATCAACTCATCTATCCATCCATCCATCGATTCTGCCCAGCCAGCCATCTATCATCTATCAGTCATCCGTGTGTCCGCCCATTCATGAGTCCAAAATAATTTACCAGGCACATGACTGACACAAATTCTGATTGCCTCATGGAGTTCACACTCCAACAAGCAAGGCAAGTCCATCAGTAACAACGTTATGAGATTCACACTCTGCCAAAAGCGTAGGCACACACTGTAGGGACACAGAGATAAGGCAACTGATGCTACAGTTGGGGAACATTTCACTGACAGGCTGGAGCTGGAACCAAGTAACAGAAGATGAGAGCTAGACAGAGGAGAGAGAAAGGCCATTCCAGACAGAGGGAACGCTGAGGGTGAAGCCATGCAGTGCCAGAAGGGTGGGTGTGTGCTAGGATCGAGGAAGCTGAGTGGCTGGGAACACAGATGCAGCAGGAGAAGGGAAACATGTTGGGGCTAGAAAGGGAAGAACTCAGGAGTCTAGACTTTAACTGGTGGGCAGCAGGGAGCCACGCAAGGTCTGTAAGCATAGACATGGCCTGACTATATCTTTGGTGTGACACTAGCATGTCCTCCCTATCCTTCTGCCACTTACAAGCAGTTCCAGATCTGAGGATGAAGCTCCCCTCAGTGTCATCCCCATACTCAATCTCCTCTGCCCCCACCCTCACAGGAGATCCTGGGGACCCATAGGAAACAGCTCATGGGGCAGCAAGGCAGACAGGGACAAATCTTAGTTTGGGAACTTGGAAACCAAGAGACCCGGACTTTCGTCCTAGTCTCTTTTGCCCCTACTCACTTGCTAGGTGGCTCAGGGGCATGGCACTTTTCACTGGAGCCCGAGTTTCCCCTTAGGCAAAATGAATAAGCTGTGGGGAGCAAAGGCCCTAAGTGGCTAGAACTTTACTTTCCCTGCTTATGCAGCTGCCACCAAGTGCACAGCAGCTCCTGAAACACATGGCTCAGCACCACCACCAGCAGCTTGGGCAAGAGTAGCTCCAGCCCGGGGCTGGTCTGGGCCTCTCATGGGGGGCAAAGACAGTGGGGAGCTACAAGGAGGCCAGCCCTGAGGAACTAAGGGACCCACAGATCTCCACCAAGTCTGCTGCAGCTGCAGGTGAAGGAAGGGCCTGAGGTGTATTTTTCAGTGATTGGTTTTGGCCACCACGTGGAGGTGGGTACCGCTGGCAGGTGCTGCATGGAGTGTTGCATGTGGGTAGAGAAAAAACAAGAAGAGGGAAAGTGGGCAGGTCCTAGGCCTGGCCTTGATGAAGGAACTCCACCCATTTCCAAGTGGGACAAGCTTACAAAGGAGCTTGACTAGAGGGGTGGGTGGAAACCCAGGGGGGTGTAGCGGCTCAAGGGTCAAGGGGAAAGAGTGTCAGAAGGAGGAGGAATGCCACTGAGAGGTGAAGCTAAATAAAAGCTGAAAGGCATCCCTTGGATTTTGTGACACAGAGGCCACTGATGACCTCAGAGCTGCCTGAGTCAAGGGCAGGAGAGAGGTCAGACTGCAGTGACAAAGGATTAGACTTCGGACTCTCACCTTGGCCCCACACTGCAACCCTGGACAGCTAAACACTGAGATTCTGAGTGAACCGGTCTGGGGGGCAGCCTGGGCATCGGGGATTCTAAAAAGCTCCCCAGAGGATTCTAACATGTGGCCAACAGTTGAGAGCCACCAGTGTGGACAATCTGCAGAGCTGCTTTTCCCCAACCGTCCTCAAAAGGACCATGGAGGAAATGAGCTAAACATAAAAGCTTTCCGTGCTTGCCTGAGTCTGATCCTGTAGAACTGGAACAGGGCCCAGGAATTTGTTTTTTGGGTTTTTTTGGTTTTGCTTGTTTGTCTGTAGAGACAGAGTCTCGCTCTCTGTTGCCAGGCTGGAGTGCCGTGGCACAATTTCAGCTCACTGCAACCTCTACCTCCTGGGTTCAAGCGATTTTTGTGCCTCAGCCTCCCAGGTAGCTGGGATGACAAGCGTGTGGCACCACACCTGGCTAATTTTTTGTATTTTTAGTAGAGATGGCGTTTCACCATGTTGGCCAGGCTGGTCTCGAACTCCTGACATAAGGTAATCCACCCGCTTTGGCTTCCCAAAGTGCTGGGATTATAGGCATGAACCGCCGCACCCGGCTAGGAATCTGTATTTTTAACAAGCATTCGGGTGAAAGGGAGGCAGGAAACAGAGCTGGAGCCAAAACAGTTTTGCTGGGTCCGTTTTTGTGATTTGGATAGATGTAAACACACTACAGATAGGCACGCCTCGGTAGAGAGGCTGAGGGTGAAGAGATGGGAGTGGAAAGGCCGAAGAGAGAGCAGAAGGCTCCAGAGAGCACATGAGGAGCAGACTCCAGAGCTCAGGGCCAGGGACCAGCCTTGGGAAAGGGACCAGGAGGCGAGGAAGGGGGCACGGTAGATGCAGGTTTGATGACAATTAACAGAGCAGGGGGAGCCCCTTTTTCACCGTCTCTCTTCTCCGTGAAGCAGAAGGTGGGCAGGACAGGGAGAAGGCTGTAGGAAGTCTTGGGAATCGTGGCTCTGGAGAGTGGTGGGGAGGGGACAGGGGATACCAGCCAGGTGAAGGCTGGTGACCACAATCACCCCGCCTTCTCTGCAGGGGACATGCAGGCGCCAAAGGTGAGCTCAGTAAGTCCAGAATGGACAGCAAGACGGAGAGTCAAAGGACCCACTGTGAAATCTGAGCTGGTTAGGAAAGAAGTCAAGAAAGGCACTGATGACTGGGAGAAAATAAGGGAGCAACAAAGTAGAGGACGAGTGAAGGGAAACGGCGGAGGTAGCCGGCCAGCTGGCCTCACACAACTGTACAGAGTGGCTGAGGAGAGACAGAACCAGTGGAAGCGCGCACCAGCACGGAAGCTACTCACACTCCAGGAGCTCAGGTCTGGACTTGGCCAGGAAGGTCTCCAGCACCTTGGCCTTGAGAGATGCTGCGTTCGGCTGTGAGCTGGCACCTTTGGCTCCAGCGGCTGCAGCTGAGAGAGGAAACAGAGAGCAATTTGCAGAACAAACTCAGAACGGACACCCCAAAGCTTCTTGCCCATGTTAACTCACCCTCCGAGCTGTCTCGTTCTAATTCCACTGTCAGTCCCGAGGCTGTAAGGAAAGAGAAACATGATACAGAGCAACAGGTTGGCCTCTACTCCCTTCCACGCTAACAACAGGGGACACCACACAGGGCTAAAGTCACCCTATTCATCTCACTCATTTATGCTGGTCCTCCCCTCCAGACTCAGGCCTGCTGCCATACAGAATGGAATCATACAGATCCCATCACAGAACCTGATGAGAGAGATCAACTCTCGCTACCAGCATTCAGTTCTGTGCTCGGGCAGTCTCAAGAAACAAACAGTTGCAGAAATGCAAAACTTACAAGGTTTCTTGG